TTTTTCAAATTCAGAAAATCTCAATTGCCTTAGGTCAAAGATGTAATAGGTAACTAAATGAAAAACTATATCAACGTCAAGTTAAGTAAATGGAAAACATGTGAAACGAAGCTTTTGATAGTGAAATCACGAAAATGATGAAACAAAAAACTTCTACAAACCCATGAAACATCTTCTTGGTATATTTACTAAGTATATAAGTCCAAATACAATGTGTAAACTTCTACCACAACTAGAATGCGATAAGGAGATGTTTTTTTGCAAATTGGCATTAAGAGGATTTCAAATGAATCGACAGTTGGTTGGAGTCAGAATGGTATGTGGAGTTAAAAAATAAGACCTATTATTGAAACTGTTTGAATCTTCACGGCTTTTTGTCAGAACTCTACGAATAATTGCAGTAGTTCGAGGGATGTCGGACGAAATGAGCCCAGGAATCAAAACAATGTATAAGATAGATAAATGAAAGCCTTGGGTGATTCAAAACATGTTTAAAGAAACACCATTGCTGTTCATTGGAACGCAAGGCATTGAACTTCCACATCCAATAAATGTTGGTTTCATGACTGTTTATTTGTATTGGGATATGATCTAGTTTCAGTGCGAAAATAGTATAGAGTTACATACAATGTACGTATATAACCCTGCCCAATACGTCAACGTGCCCTTGAATAAATACAAAACAAACAAAATTTCAGTTTTAATTAGAGAATCGTTATCCGTGAAACAAGCATCCTTAAGCATTCTTCACAGCTCAGCATCTGTTTTCAAATCACCATGGTAACGTCAATGTACCAGCCGAAGCATTCTTTGAGAGAGATTGTCCGTGACAAATCAGTCAGACATCAAAATGCTAGAAGAACTCTAACCAAATTCTCAAGAATCAAATTTTTCATAAATCACCTTTGCTTTAGAAACGAACTTGCTGGTAAATATTTACTTTGCCTCAATGGCTGTTCAATGAGTTCAAAAAAGGAATTTTAACTTTAAAATATTTCAAGAGTTCTTTTTAATTTCTATAGTGTTTGGCTGAAAAGGGTGCAAGTTCTACAGGTAAAGACAGTATTGAGTATTTACAATAGCTTCTTGATTTTTGTTTTGCTATGAACTTTTTTCGATGATCAACCTGTTTCCCTCTGGCATTTGACATTTCAAGTTCCGGCACAATGATAAGCACATCGTACGCTTTGTTGTGCAATGTTAACAGAATCCGACCTACACTTCTCGGGTGTAATAAGTCGACACCCCGACTTCGATTTCCAGACCCTCCCTTATTCCTATTTGAATGAAATCATGGAGTGCTATCATTGTTGTATGGTAATTGGCAGACACTCACATATTGACAAATTAAAGGAATACGATCAACAAAATGATACATAAACATTTGCTTCATTTAGTCATTGATCTATTTTGTCGTAGACTTCTGTGTATAACCATGTACATTTCACATGCTGCAATTGGAAGCTTTATCTGTCATTTGGGCATCGTGTCATAATCTCACCAGTAACCCATTCCACTCTCCACACTCATGTATAACAACTAACATGTCATAACTCAATTACCTCATCTTTTACTTATTTTTTCAAAGTAGCATGAAACACCTCAAGGTAGCAGTCGTCACCGCCCACAATTCAAAAACTGCCGTGTTCAAATACACTTTGTGTGCACGGGACATATTTTCAAAGTTTGATGTAAATTGGTAAATACACAATTTTAAGGAGCCCAGTTATCGCGTGTCGTTTGTAAAAAAGCACATTCAGTTTATTGCCCAATCTGAGAGCAAAGGAATTTCTTTTAATTCAATTTCTGAATTTATTTACAGAGATGTTTAATTCGATTGACAGGTCATATATAAGTACTTGTAATGTTGTTCCTCTTAAAGAAATACTTTGTATACCATCAAAGTAGAAATCACAACAGGTGAATCAGCATGTTTAGAATGACTAAAAAACTCAACAAGTCATCTGAAGAATTTTAAGTCTCTATAGATTCAATATATTGATGTCTTCAAATAAGTTACTTTTTCATTACTTTAGGTGTTATATTGTGATCAGTTTTATTGTTGTCTGCTTTATATTGATTTCATGACGCCAGCTCTACATCGACAGTTAATTGTTTGCATTTTCACGAACGTGTGAATATTTCTCGTAATGGAATTTGAGTGGAAATTTGATAGTCCTATGACCTCAAAAACGAATATATATAGCTGCAAATATGATGGAATATCTGTGTGTGTTATGGTTTATTATCGTGATCAATTAATGAGATCGTGATCTCTGACAGAATTTACGTCACATATTTTATAACTGACATTTTTCAAAAATAAATGAATGGTGAAATTTCAATTACATTTTTCAGATGGCATTTGATTAAATACCACCATCATTGTATATTTGGTACCTTTCTTAAATGGATTCATTGTATAATGGCTTGAACATAGCTTATATTGTTAGATATCTAAAAGACTAATATATGGTTTATGATTTCTAAAGAATTTCGAAGAGTCAAATCATCGTGTGCCAGACTTCGCTGGTGTAAAATGAACTGATTTAGGGCGGGATCATTTTATTTTGAAGAATAAAGCTTGAAGGATAAACAAACTACACGGCTTCCAATGTAAAATCAGTCAACGTAAGATCTCACAAGCGAAACACTCACAAGTGAAACTGAATGAGAAAAACATCCACTTATACAAGAATTGTGCAGTACATTTGGAATTTCTGGTGAAACCTATACATCATCAATAGCCAGATCAAAGCTAGTGTAACATGCTTGTTCCTTGTTAATACAATTTCTGACGATGATCAATTAGTATTGTGCCATGCAGGTAATTAGAGAGCAATCGTTGAAAGGGGTTCGTGATGCCTCATCCTACTTATCATACTTGTAACGATTTTTGAAGTCTGATTTTCTCCTAAGATTGGCCCAAGTTTCAACTTGATAAGTAAATGATATTGGTACAATCCATTTTACTGATTAAAGGCGTTCGATTTGGCCAGCAGATTGAATATAGGCGTGAAACAAGGGTGTGCTATTCCATTTATATGTCACCACATGAAGTGGCGTTCGGTGTTTGTAACAAATGACAGGTTGTGACATTTAGAATGATAATGCCTTGCATTATTTATCATTGTATTATTTGTTCTATGACTCTACAGATCTCGGATACAGTCACCCATGAGCCCGTCCCAACAAGCTAAGCTCACTTTTTTCAGACCCTGTTATTAACAATATCCCTCAGACCAACGAAGGAGCAAAATGCAACCTAGCATTAAAAAATATATTTACTTCTTCAATCGACTGACTCCCCCTCTCTCTTGACTACGACAGTCAAAACAGTTCCATAAATATCTCGTTTTTGGTGATCTCACAAATGAACCCCTAAATCACCCATTCCTATAATTTATGTTTTTTTAGGTATTACATGAGGTCGAAATCAAAGAAAGAAAGACTCGAGACTCGGGTCAGCATCATTCTGATACTCATAGCATCTTTCTGTTTCACCTGAAACATCATCTCAGGGCTGAGAAGAAATGAGATGTCATGGTGTATCATGATGGGTCAGCATGCTAACACATGAAAAAGGGGCTCATTATCCATCAGAAGATAATCACCAAGGTACTGATGTCCTTAGTGTAACTAACTATTTGAAATGATACCCCAGCTAACTGTGATGATTGAAGTCTAAACAAACATTTCATCGTGTTTACTTCGCAGTTAAGAAAAGCACAGTTGGGAACGATGTTCCAAAATGACACAAAAATGACACAAAATAAATTTGATCTAACAAGAAAAACAAAACTGAATGGAAAACCTGTAGGTGATAACGACACCTTCAGAGATGAGCATCAATATTTAACCAAAGAACAAAACTTTCCCACTATACTTAACCAACTAATTGGACACTTGTCGAGACTCGAGAACAAATCTTCGAGATTGACAAATGTGTAAAAGAGGCTGATGAGAGGATCAAGAATGCCGAATGTAACTCCTGAATGTTCATCTGGCTAATGATATTCAAGCTCTTTCACAAGGTCGGGCTGACAGACCGATTCATTACAAGAATTACACCTCGGAGAGAGCATAAGTCACAAAGAATAATGACTTGATAAAAGATCACTCCAAAATGGTGTAACCTTATCGCAATTAAAATGCAATTTGCTGCTTGTGTCTCTGCCATTTTGAATTCCCCATTTGGTCGTCTTTCAATAGTAATTTCGTTCACCACATCGGTAACATAAACCATCAGAACGTAATTCCTAAATGCATATATCTATCTTAGAGCATTATACAGGGTGTCCCAAAAAGTCTACCTAGACAAACATGGTGTATTTCTGTGAGTGATCTGATGTAGGATTATTTTTGAAGTTTGATCATCTGATCATCATCAACTCAACAAATAATTTACACCTTTCTATACCTTTCTACTTTTAACTGCTTATTGGAAATCAAATTTTCTTCATCATGTGAAAAGTTCAATTTTTCAAAGAAAAAAACAGTTATTTCTTGTTTCATCTGGGTATACTTTTTGAGGCACCCGGTATACCAATTTTGGAGGAATATCTTCCGTCATTCACTATAAACTTGCTGTCACGTTTATTTCGAACTCCATTTTGTTTACTGTTTCAACAACAAATGGGCACCATTCTTGTTGTTTGCAAGTATTGTTTTATAAATTCCATTTACCATGTTAACATTCATAACTTCCAGAATCAACATTCTCACATTGCAATTAACAATTAAATATGCACGTGCACTCATTTTCAACTTCAATATAAGTACTTCATAACCTCAGTTCTTCAATTCTGTACAGTTACTCAACAACCGTTTTGAATTTTTTATTCATAACGTTTCAAGTGTCATTGAAGTGCCACTACTGAAGTACCATTTGCATTCACTTCATCAATAACATCAAAATGCATAGCCCTGGCTTCCGCAAATATTCTTATTACCACATATGGAGGAACATTAATGAAAAGTTTAAAAATTGCCTTACTCACCCTGTGTGTAAGCCCTAGCTGTAGCCAAGAGAAGGAGGATGGCGACTTTGTACGTTGTATGCATTTTGATAATTCCTTTAATTACCTGAAAATAGAATGAATATACTTAACTCCGACCTTAAACCAAATATAAAATGTATACATTAATTGTAAGTCGTGCTGAAGGTATAGACATCGTCATTAAAGACGTTTATATAGCTTTAACTCATCCGATTATGTTAGTATCCAATTTCAGCTCATAGAAATCCTACTTTTTTAAATGTCACGAAAAGAATCATAATCCTTATAAATACGCACGTGTCCCAAGGGTTAATCTCAGTCCATATATTGTTAATATGCTATTATCCCGTTAGAATGTTCGTTGTTTGTCTGGTTAAAACTCAAGTGTAACTGAACTGAATTATTGTGGCACTAGAGTATGTATTTTATGCAACGTCCTGTGTGGGACATTTGTACAAGTTGTCACACAATATGTCCACCTGTGTTTGAGTTCGTAAATTCACCTTTACTAAATACTAATCACATTACTAGATCGTATCCCAAAAGTTAAACATCGTATCAAAAGATGCGTTGCCACAAATGTCTCCATGTTATCCTCGAGTTAAGATAAGTAAATATAGTCAAATTCATTCGATGAACTCTGTTTTGCCTTGCTCTCTACTGGAAACTACGGCAATGGTGGCGTCCCTGATCCAGGGAGCTTAATGCATCGACCTTTCGTGTAAGGTCTCCGTGGGTTTTCATAAACTGCCGTACTCAGCGGTCGTAATTCACACTTTCACTCCGGAAGAGTTCATAGGTAAATTCCCTGGTTGATTTTGATCGGTTATCCAGGAAATATTGCTGTTTATTCAAAGTGATCAGATCCGAAAATGCAATCTCACTTTCCTAATTAGCGTGTTGTAGATTTGCCGTCAGGTGGCTGCTATTGGTGGCATATGCTCGCCTAATTATCCATTTTCGACTATTTAAACCCCCTCATTATACAAACACGGGTAATCCAGGATATAAGCCAATTGATTTTTATTTCATTTAATCGAAAACCTTTTTTGACTTAATCCTTAGCACTTTTGGTTTGTCATACCTGAATCTGTAGCAACACCAAGAACAATACAAGAATAAAAAACCAGCGATTAAAAAATACCTGTCGTGACCTTTTCCCGAGAGTGCAGACGAAACATTCAATTCAAAAAGAATATGGCGTCGTTGAGAGGAATGCTAATATCTTATGATTTCATGTTAAATCTCCACTTTTGACCGTGAATTGCATACTTTCATCAATACAATATTGTGTTTTATGATTTTTCTCCCCGCTGGGAAAATAAGCAAGTAGCCTAATACGACTTCTATGTCTTGTGTCTATCAACCATTCAGGTTCATCCTTCGCTTGATGAAGTTTATTGAGAGAATACATAAAGTATGAATGAGGAGTCTGGTTGCATGATGACAGTCGAGCCCCAAATCATGACATACGAGGCCAAAAAAGACAACAAGACTTAACATAATAAACTCCCTCTCTACAAACACGAACAGTATAAACCTGGCATTCTATTTCTTTTATTTACCGCTATCTGCCTTTTACCAGGTACTGAGTTGAAATGTAATATAATCTTTGGTTATGAATTCGTGGTTTATTTGACATATATCGTCGGTAATATGTATCATTAACTACCCCAAAAAATATTAAGTGAATCGATTTGGGAAGTTATTACTATGGTTACCAAATGTTGTGTTGGCACCCTTATTGTGACATTATTATATATCATGCATACGTATACAATTTCTGATATATGATCCCTTTTTAATGATGAATTCGCACCACCCACACCTTATAAATCAATGTGTAAATTGTAAAATAAAGTAAATTATATTTGATTGATTGATGATTCATAACGATAATAGTAATTAGAATTGTAATGATTTGTTATGTTACATAATATGTGACACCTTTGCTCCGAATTGTAACGTTAAAATGGCAAACATGTGTTCTTTGTTGACAACATGTGTTGCTCTCACATATACACTCACCCACTTAACATCTTGTACTAAAGATTTCAAAATATATCACCCCACCACAAAACAGCCTCTATTAACAAGAATAGACAAAGCATCTGAGTCAACCTCACTGAACGTAAAAGTAAAAACAACGTTAAAACATGTTTGCCACCCGTTATGATTAAGAGGGAGGGCAAAGGGCAACATCTGAAAACAAGATAGATCAAATCCACCGACATCATAACACCTTATAAGGTAGTCATAAGTCAGTGACAGAAGAAGTTGTATTTAGGATTTCAAAACGTAGGATTAAAAGGCTAAATTCCTTTAAACATAAAAAATGAAAAAAATACACAAATCCTAGATATTCACAGATATAGTCATAATACATAAAGGGTAACACTAGAAAAAGGAACACACCAAACAATAGCCTTATACTGATAAATACTTACTAAGAGCCCAATAAAAATGAATTTTTGAAAAACTAATAAAGTAACATGTATGCTATTCTAAATATTAACATATATACAGTCTCATTGCCTAATAGTATAATGACAACAATCGCGTGGTAGTTCCAATTAGAACAGACATGGTAATGTAATTAAACCAATTAATAATTAATAGAACACGATAGAGACAAAGGAAAAGAGCAGAGCATATTAATAAATAACTAATTACATATTCAAACTTATATACTATAGAAAATATTTCGTAGAAACTAACTTCATGAATCAATATCTTGCACATACTCACAAAAAGCGCGAAATGGCCGCCATTTTGGAAATACAATTGCTCATTCATAAGTTTGACTCACCGCCAATATTAACACAAAATAGAAAACAAACCTTATGAATTAATACACCTGTTAATCGATGTTCTTTCAAATATGGCCTCAGGAACTCAAAATCACTTTTTACCATTCATGTCATCTTATATACAAAGGATTAGCTTAGCCCCATTGTGTATATTCGATTGGGTATACAAATATTTCAGTGCAAGTTATAATATGATAAGATTCATTGTTCAGGTGAGGTGTCCTTTACTTATATTTTTATTTAAACAACAGGTACTCTCTAAAGGTTAATGATAAATAAAAAATAAATGAATATACACGCACTGTGTTCAAAAATAATATGCATGGCTAAAAATCTACATGTACATACCGACACGGACGTTCGATTGTCAAATTCTATCAAACGCTTTGCAGTAGTCCTGTTGTAATTGTAATCCAGTTTTGATTTGGTAATCCTCGTGTGAAATTAAGGCACTGAAATATTGTTATTGAGTCCTTTTCTTATTAATCAATTCAGTGTTGTATATCAAAGGCATAAAATGTTTCGTTATGTGCCTTAAAATGTAAGTAATGTGTGTCCGGTAGGTAAACTATAACTTTAACGTGTTGTCCAATGTCAGTTTCGTTCGCTCTTTTCATTTTCTATTAATGTATATAATTGTCTCTTAAGTAAACCTGTCATATTTTTTGCCTTTTCATTGCTTTTGTTGCTTCCTTCACAACCAAAAATTCCTAAGGAGCTGTCGTTTGAACAATCTCCAAGCAGATGTCAAAAATATATCCTCACTGTGTTTTATACTAAAAACAGAATCAAACAAGGTGGTGGAGTATGCCCTATACAGAATAATATTTGAAAACGAAAGGGAGTAAAAATTCTTTGGAATGTTGCACAATAGAACCCAGTAATTTAATACGACTATTTCGAATTTACTTTCGTGTCGTTTTTTAAGCAATGTCTAACAACTCTCAATAACTATTCAGCCGCATACTTACATGCCTACAAGAGGTAGCTTTGTTTATTTATAACACGGATCGGAGTGAACAGCCAACATAAGTTTCACGTACATCCCGGGGAGTATTGACTGTTATTTCAAAAACAGAAAGTCCTACAGATTTTTTCAATTAAATCAATTAAAAATCACCTCTAAATTGTGACTTCTGAGACAATAGGTTATGTGAAAATGTTGTTCTATTGCTTAGGATATGTCGGGTTGACAATATATGTCAGCCATTTGTTTGTCTTCATATCACATTACAAAACGTTTCAAAATCATCCTCTGACGCAGGTCCGATACAGTTTTGAATACAACTAATTACAAATTCAAATATACCTTTGAAGTTCGATCTCATGCTATATGCTGTTTTGATACTTGAAAAGTTAGTTCAGAATCTGGGCACTTGTAAGTTCTTTTAAATTTTTGTTTGAAAAAGAATATACCCTTTTGTTACTGTGTAGATATTTGAACAAATTTGAACAAGTGTAACAGTTCTCTCTGCATGGAGCCTGTTTTTTATTGGCTTTACACTTTGTTTGTCAAGTGGTTCTGCTAAATGGCACCCGGCATAATAGCAAGTGCAGTAAGTGGCTATATATAGCAAGAAATAGAAACTTCTGCAATTCTAGGGAACATTGCTACAGAACGTGAATTGCATCATGTGGCGCTAGCGCGTGGCAAAAACACAAATGCTTAATAATGCATTCGTGTGATTTTGATCGAAATCTTTCTCAGTCATTAGTTCATTCATGGCTTAAATCCCGGATGTATATTTGCATTGATCATCCAAAGGTCTTTCTTTTATAACTTAATCTTTGTTTACACCGTTAATAAGAAAAACACATATTTAGCGACATTATGATATTTTGACTAGGTTGATCGATCTATCTATATTACGATTTGGAAGATAAACGAAGATAACAGTTTTGGTCTCGCGCTCATTGAGCTTTTTCGAATGCATTTTTGATACGACCGTCATCACTACAAAATCTCGACCAATCATTCAATCAGTGCGACAAAATTGTGTTCGGTTTCATTTTAATTATACCATATGAAAAGTGATTGAGGGTTTACTTAAATGATTACTGTTGTATCAATATACTGGATACAGGTGCCATCAGGTGAAATTCTTCATATTTTTGTTATCAGATGAAATCTTCTTACGCGGCGGTATTTTGTTACAAGCTGAGTTTGTCATGTTGTACAATTGTATATGTATCACTTGTTGTAACAATATATCATCAACAATATCAAAATATGTTATCAGTTAGGAGTCATTTCAGGCCAGGAAATAGCAATTGT